CGCTCCCGGGGCGGGGGGGGCCCCGGGGGGCCCTCCTGGAACCTGGGGGGGCTGCCCCGCCAGTGGCTGCGGCCTGACATCCGCACTAAGGAGCAGATCGTGGAGATGCTGGTGCAGGAGCAGCTGCAGGCCATCCTGCCCGAGGCGGCCCGGGCCCGGCGGCTGCGGCGCCGCGCCGATGTGCGCATCACTGGCTGAGCAGCGGAGCCAGGAGCTCCTTGGACTGATACTCTGCCTTACCCTGAGTTAATGAAAGTTAAAATTTGACAGCTCCTGTGGTCTAGTGTGTCTTTCATTCGTCCTTTATTTATTGGGCTTATTTCCGGAGGTCATTCCCCCGCCTTTGCAGTTGATAGAGGATTGTGGTAGCCTGTAAAAGTAAAGGTTTTGTTTGCTATTCCTGGACCACTGGGGATGCGCAGGACTTTGCCTTTAGGCGGGAAATTTCTCCCTTCTGTTGACTACATCTAGGCCATCCCTCTACCACATTGGCAGTTTTTTTGAACTTACCTGAGTATTGTCTTGCAAAAGGCCACGTTAATGACGGTTAGGGTCGGCTAGTGTTCCATATTACCTCCTGCCCTATACTATCTAGTTTCCGAGCTTGAGCAGATAGCAATACATAGTGCTTTGGAAACTGGGGAGTGAAATAAATGACCCGGTTAAATGCTAAGTTAGCTCAGAATCGTGACTCATGCTTTTTTTTTTTTTTAAAGATTTTATTTACTATGTATACAACATTCTGCTTCCACGTATATCTGCACACCAGAAGAGGGCACCAGATCAAATCACAGATGGTTGTGAGCCACCATGTGGTTGCTGGGAATTGAATTCAGGACCTCTGGAAGAGCAGTCAGTGCTCTTAACCTCTGAGCCATCTCCAGCCCCGTGCGTGGCTCATGCTTTTAACCTCAGCATTTGGGAGGCAGACTTTGCATGTGCAGCTGTTTACCATTTTGTTATGTTTTTCGAGGCAGGGTTTCTCTGTGGCTTTGGAGCCTGGCCTGGAACTAGCTCTTGTAGACCAGGCTGGTCTCGAGCTCACAGAGATCCTCCTGCCTCTGCCTCCGGAGTGCTGGGATTAAAGGCGTGTACTGCCACCCACCGGTTGCAGCAGTTTATCATTAGAGAAATGTTTTGTCTAAAACTGTAATAGGGTTCATGACCTCTAAGGTTAAGAACATCCTGGCCATGACCAGAATGTATACCATGAAGAGGGAAAGAGCAATTCCTTAATATTTCTACCTGCTCCTTTATTAGCCTCTCCGGAATTGTGTCAGCTTCCTGTAGTGAAGCACACTTGTGAGCAAAGCTCCCTTGTCTTTACAATGAATAAACAAAAACCTTTCTCAATCCCTAATGCTCCACTTGCACAATGGTTTTCCATGTGTGTCAAGTAACATTGCTAGAAGTCCTCATTTTAATGTATTCAGTGGGGCTCCTGTTTTTAACAACTTCTCTAACCCTCAACTCTACCAAAGGAAGGAATTTCTGAAGGAATGAAAACCAGTTTTCCTTAAAGTTTCCGATGTGTGTGTGTGTGTGTGTGTGTGTGTGTGTGTGTGTGTGTGTGTGTGTGTGTATGTGTGTTGGGGTGGGGGATGATGATGGGATGTAGTTTGGGTCTATAGGAAGCTTGGGTTTGTTCCAGCAGGGCCCCTTCTTGCTTTGTTTCCACCAACCAAAACTAGTAAATCTGCACCTTCCACCACAGTGCATGAGCCAGACTTGGGTAAAAGCTGGTATGATCATCTAGCTTTAGACGATGTGAAAACATTTTATTATTTCATGGAATTTCTTGATAGAGGTTGCATGTGTCTCCCTGTATGAGATTGTCCAGACGAGCAGGCATGCTATAAGAGGTGTTGATTATGTAACACATATTTTAAGAGTAGGTAAAACATTTGACCACGGTAGGATGGCTGCAAGTTTAAAGCCCAACTTGGGGACAGATAACAAGCTCAAGGCCAGCCTGGGCTATCTAAAAAAAAAAAAAAAAACAAACTTGTTATGGTAGCATAGGATTTAGTCCTAGCACTTGAAGCAGAGGCAGGGGTTTCTGGGAGTTCTAGGCCAGTCAGGGCTATGTACTGATACCTTACCTCCAAACAAAGCAAACAAAAACCACCTTTTATATTTCAGTAACATGTGTCTGACATAGCAACAAGAACCTGTTTTATTTTTTCCAGATACAGAAGTTTGCATGTTTTGCAAATATTGCTTGAGAGCAACACCTATGTACAGTGCCTTCTGTCTAATAGCACGTAAACACAGATACGTAGCCACAGTGCAATGCTGGTTCAGCCAGGATCCACCTTGCATACTTCAATGACTGATCACACCAGAACTGCTGTGTCAAGGTGACCTTCCATTGGTGGATAGTTTTTCCTAACAGAACTCAGGTAGTGCACGTCTTTCTAAATGGTATCAGCATTGTTTGCAAATGACAGATTCCAGTGCTCCAACTTAGGGGTTAATTCACTGTGACACAGGAACTGGAAGTGGAGCCCCTCAACATGGCTTTAAGTTAGGGAAGAACTGAGGTTATCAGAACATGAGTCTGCTTTGCTTCCCTATGAACAGAAGTCACAATGGAACCAGATTACTTCCTTCACAAAACCTAAATGATAAACCCAGCAATGACCATATGGCAAAATTAGGATCATTCAGTTTCTGCTTTCAACTTTGAAGAAGACACAAAACAGACTGCCTTCCAAGTTACAGCTTCCCCAGATACTCAAGGGTAGTTACATAAAAGAACAAACCTTAATTTAAAAACCTTTATTACATTTGTCTATTATGTGTATGTGTGTCAGAGGATAACTTTAAGGTTTCAATTCTCTACTATGTGGGTCCTGGGGATTGAACTCGGGTAGCAGGCTTGGTGGCAAGCACCTTTACCAACTGAGCCATCTCTCTGGCCCCCAATATCTAATATAACAATCATCATACCTCACACAGTTGTAGCTATAGATAATTCTCTTGGTTCTTCCCCTTTCAGACAATCATCATCCAGTTCTCAAGATGCAACTATTAATAAATTATCCAAAACACCGATGTCACACAGACTCCTGGAGCATTTCTTCCCACAACAGAAACATGTTAACAGTGGGAAGCAGCCTTTAATAAGGGACTGTGTTGGCTTCATTATGCGTCACACACTCCCCAAGCTATGCCAGGTCAATTCATGCTTGCCCTGCCTGCAGCTCAATTTATAGCAGATGGTGAACATATCATTGGACAGGGCATTCATTCCCTGAAACTTCTCTGTACACAAGTCTCAATTCACAGCCACAATGACCTGTTACGCCTGAAGCTGAACAGTTCCTGAGGCAGCTGGAGATGCTGCTATTCTAGCTACTGACATTGGCTTCTTGATGTTTACATAGTAAATATTTGCTGCCTAAAGCATTACAGATTCCAAAACTCATGATGAACCTGGGGGTGTTGATGGATAAAGGTACTTTGATATTTGCCTTTAGTGATGCAAAAACTGGTTAAATCAAGTCCTCAAAGCATGGAACCTTTTAAACTTTGCCTAGTAAGGTAAAACAAAACAATATAGCAATTACACATGGAACCAGAACCTACAAAATAACACAAATATTTTCTCTGAACGTACAAACAGGTTGTACCTGGACCTTAAGCAGCATAATCACCTTGATCTCACAAGTAATACAAACAGGAAATTGAAAGTGTTAAAGTGCATCAGCAGCTCTGAAAATGCCAGCTACCACACTAGCCTCCAAAGAGGAGGAGAGTGGCACACAGAATCTCAAGTTGCTGACGACAATATAAAATAAGGTAATTCCCACATTCTTTGTAACAAATCTTTACAGTAATAGTTCAAAATCTTGGGAAACTTTTTTAAACTTTAAACAGAAGTGGGAAGTTGTTGGAATTAATACATGTGTAGAAAATGCTGTCCGTTGGGTTCCAGACCCTGCCTGCTTCCTTCTGGGACTCCTTGTAGATTCGAATCGCAGCAAGATTCTAGTTCTCCTTCGGCAGTTTCGGCTTGGCTGCCAAAGCCATGGCCCAGCCTACTGTGGGCTGAAAAACAGCATAAAACCTTGTCCCCCGTACCGTGAAATCATGCAAGAGACGTGGCAAGAAAATGAAGTCTTGAGGAGGCAGTGCCGTCAAGGCCGTGCTTCTCCTTCCCAAACTGCATGGCACAGTCAAGTCCCAATATTCCAGTGAAGCTGAAAGATGAAAACAAACAGTGCCTGCTGCCATACACCACACCAGGCAGAGAAACCAGAGGGGTTGGTATATGCCTCAACCTGACCCAAAAGTCAATTCAATAAACTGCAATTTGAATTTACAACTGTTTCCAACTAGATTTTTTTTTTTTTTTTTTTTTTTTGGCTCTCATTCCATTTATCACCAGTGGCACGATTCCAAGTGAAGATGTGCAAAGACTCGCTTCGTTCAACGATGTGCACAGAAGAGGGTTCTAAGACTATGCGCTGCCTTCGTAGTTGGCTTCCAGATCAAGAGTGCCCCGTCCTCCAGCAGCCAAAATGGTCTCTTTGTCCCAGTGTCCATCACACTCCTGGCCAAATCCCTGAAGTCAGTCAGTGTCACGTGCATTCAGCATGCTAAGTTTATTTATTTAAATATTCGAAGCTCCCCCTGGCGGTCATGCCAGGACTGTGCTCCAATTGTCCTGGGCGCCCAATCTCATGTCGAGCAGCAGAGGGCAATCTGCTGCACCTTGCCTAGGTCAGTCAGCAGCTGCTTGATGCAATGCTTGAGCTGTGGAAGCCTGGCCAGTGGCTCTGGGGGCTCCAGTTCCCCAGTGTAGTCCAGCCAGCTCTCCAGTACTGCAGGTAGAAGAGAGAGAAGACCCTTGAGTGCTTAGAACTTGACTTACAAAAACCTACAAGGCCACAAGGCCACAAGGCCATTTCAACCCAGGCTGCCCCAATATTAGCGCCCCACAAAGCATTGCTCCAGGGCACAAAGCTCTAATGTTAGGGTTTGCATGGTAAGCATAGGCTTGTGTGGTGGATGGTTGGACCCTAGCTGGTGATGCTATTTGGAGAGAAAGTAGGTCACTAGGGGTATGCCTTTGACAATTATGCCTGCATCCCTTCCTCTATCATCCCTGTCTGCCAAGACATAGCCAGATGCCTCCACGACAGGCTCTCACTGCCAGGACTAGACCAAGTAGCTTTGGACTGGACTCTCTGAAATGATAAGCTACTCAATGTGCTTTTGTCAGGTATTTGGTTACATCGATGCCTCCCCACAGTGCAGGCCTGAA